ATTTGGAAGAAGGTGACGAGAGTTCGGAGGGCCACCTGCAAGTGGAACATCAGGCATTGGCCAAGCCTTTGGTAAATGCCAACGGTAGCCATCCTTCATGCCTCTGGTTTCACAGCAAACGTGATGGAGCCAGGTTGTAGGTCCAAGGAGATGCAGGACAGTACTGGTACAATGGCTAGTAACCCTCACTAGATAGTGTCCCAAACGTGCTTTTTTTTTTTTTTCCAAGAGGCAACTGGACTTTCTGGTGTTTCTCTGAAGACGTTTCGCTTCTCATCCAAGAAGCTTCTTCAGTTCTGACTGAATGGCGGAAGGATTTGTGTTCCTTGCGAGTCCTCTGGGCGTTAGCGCGCTTTCTGAGAGTCGTTGAGGCCACTCGGAGTCCCAAAGGGGCAAAAACAACCTTGCTTTTTCAGGAGGCAACTGGACTTTCTGGTTCGTCTTCGAAGACGTTTTACTTCCCATCCCAGAAGCTTCTTCAGCTCTGACTGAATGGTGGAGGGTGGAAGGATTGATACTCCTTGCAGACAGCTGGTCATTTGCATCCTTTTAGCAAGTCGTTGAGACCACTTGGAGGTTTCTCTGTGTCCTCAGGGTCACACCTGTGTGATGCAAATAGGTGTGAAGCCTTCTTGGAACTGTTGAACGGACTGTGTTGCAGACTGGAGATGGATGATGTCATATCCCTCCCCCTCTGTTGAGAGAGAGCTATTCGGTGTTGACATAGATGGCCTCTATGACCCCTCTTTCAAACCAGCTATCTTCTATGTCCAAAATGTGGACTTTGCTGTCTTCAAAAGAGCGACCTTTGTCCAGCTTGGCAGAGCAGGGGAGAGGTAGAGCAAGGAAGAGGGAATTTGGAGGAAGACTCAGGCCCACCCCTTCTTTATCCTAGGGCAAGCAGGGAGGAACGGAGAAAGGAGCAACCTGGGTTGCATGGCTTACAGGGGAGGAAAGGGCCCTGATTCCCTTCATTAGCCACACCTGGGAAGAGAGCTTACAAGAAATGCAGGATGCGTGTGGCAGCTGCTGGGAACAAATGTGAGTTTATCTTGTGTTGACTTTGGTTATCTGCATTCCTGGCTTCCTCCCAACCATATTGAATTACTGCCATTCCTTCACATCTGGAATTCTTGCCCCTGCCCTGTCGAACTAATGACCTCATTTTGCTTGGGCTTATAGTTACAGTTTTTGTTGACCATGTTTTGGACTGAATTTCCTCCACTTAAAGGCTGTTCCTGGGAGAGTTTTTCTCTAGCCCAGAAGGTAACCTGGACATTGGGGGCAAAGTTGGAGATAGTAAAGGGACTCTTCTTGCTTGTCTGACTGTGTTGCCTTTGTGCCATGCCCCTTTGGGTCATCACAATTGCTGTCTAGGTGTTTTGTCTGTTTTACCATTCCCCAACCATCCAGTCAGAGGTGAAGAAGCTCCTTGGATGGAGAAGCGAAACGCTTTCAAAGAAAAACCAGAAAGCCCAGTTGCCTCTTGAAAAAGCACCTTGGCCACAACCATGACCTGATGGATGACTGACAACCTCCATAGACACCTCGGCAGATAAGTTCTTCCATCAGAGATGGAGAGGCCACTGTGGAAGGAGGACCAGGGAGACTAGGAGCCAAACTTCTGCTGATCTCAGTGTCAAGAGAATCGGCTTGCTGTCAGGATTCCAGCGATCGCCCTCATTAAATCAGGAGCCTTGAGCCAAACTTCAACAACCTTCAGAGAACTCATGAGGCGTGACATACTGGCATGACCTGTATGAAGCCGATTCTGGCATACGTAATTACAGTCCCCTGTGACCCTGTTTTCTCCCCCTTTCCTCCCTGGGCGTGCCATAAACCAGTTTCTCCAATTAAGCACATACACAGGCTAGGCATCATCCATCACATTCTCCAATTGAAGTTTTTTCCTTGGCAAAAGCTTCAGTCACTTAGCTACAATCTTTTTAAAGATAAAGTTGGAATGTGCTTCTAAGTTCATTTGCCACATGCTTCTCCAGTCTTCCCCCCTCTCCTTTCTTATGCCAACTTGGGGACAAGTGTAGGAATGTTTTACAAGTTGACACTCGGCTCCACATGTCCTACCTAGTAGCCCTCTACATCAGTGATGGGATTCAATTTTTTCTTTACTACCATGGCTTGGTGGGCGTGGCAAGGGAAGGATACTGTAAAATCTCCAGCCAGAGGTGGTGTTTACCGGTTCTCCAAACTACTCAACATTTCTGCTACCAGTTCTCCAGAACTGGTCAGAACCTGCTGAATAACCACCTCTGCTCTACATCCATCCAAGGGTGGCCTCCAACTTCAAGCAAGGTCAAGCAAGAACTTACGTGTACAGAGGATTCCTTGTGTCTGGATTGTCGTGGAAGGTGGAGTCCCTGAAAACGATGGAGTCCTCCAGCTTGCAACCCACTGGGAAGGTGTCTCCCACCACAGCCCACTGTAGGAACAACCAAGATCGGAACACCCCGTAACACCTCGGTTCCTCTTTGTTTGATACGGTTGTCCTTGGACCGAACCACTTTTTTCTATCCTCAGTATCGGCAAGCGTGCAACCAAACCCCCATTTCATTTAGTGCAGGTGGTCTCCAAACTTGGCCATTTTAAAACTTGTGGACTTCCACTCCCAGAATCAAAGTGTTCTGACCCAGCTCCCCAAACACAACAAACCCTCTGTATTTAAATCAACGATTCCTTTGTTAGGAGTTCCTGGCAAAACGGTTTTCAATGCAGGCTAAAAAAGTCTGTCCATCCAGAAGATGATTAGTTGTCTGCCACATCTATTCATCTCCGCCCCCTGCCTTTTATCCCCAGAGCTCAAGTGGGGCTTCACTAGCAGCAGTGGTTCTTCCGTCCCGAGGGCCAGCCCATAGATTTCCACTGCTCTCCTCTCCTCTCTGCCTTTTGCACATCCACGCGTCAGGCATTGGACCCAGCTGTTCCTCCTCTTCCCCTTCAGCCACCTCCAGACCTGTGAGCTGTTGACTCTCCATCTGAGGGCTGATGGACAGCCCAGGCTCCGCCTCTCTCTCTCTCTCTCTCTCTGACAGCTCCGTCCCCTCTTCCTCCTTGTAGCTCCCAGGTTGTCTTGATGCTGACCCTGACTCCCACACCTCCTCCTTCTCCTCCTCCAATCCAGCTGCTGGAGGGGCTGGCGGCCAACAGGCCACAACATAAAGGTGCCAAGTTTGGAGACCCTTGATTTAGGGATTCCTCAATGTGTATCGATTAGAGATGCTGGGACTTTAGGTTCTTCACCCATCCATGAGCATAATTCTCATTTTTCTGCCCCCCAAATAAAGACTGGATATTAAGGGGCAGGGCTTGGGAATGTTGAGACTCTTCCACACTCCTTGTTCTTCATCTCACCTGTGGTTCGCCAGACAGGGCCAGAATTTTCCCCAAATCATGGAGCAGTCCAACCAGGTGGAACCAATCTAGAGTGGGACCAGAGAGAGCGAGAATCTGTTTCTGTCCTTGTCAGGTCCCTCCGACCTCAGTTGGGACATCCGCTTAGGCACCCGGTGCCTCATGGGACCTCTTGATGCCAGGGTCAGAGCCTGACCTAACTATGTGGAAGATCTGGAGGGCGAGGAGGAAAGGGGATCTCACAGAGAAGCATCCAGCTGAGCAGTGTCCTTTCCTGGTGATAACAAGGTGTGCTGATGGCTCCCTGGAAAACATCTCTACTCTGCTTGAGGTCTTCATGTGTTGAAGACACACTGAGATGGCATCACTCAATGATCACCAATGGACCCAGAGCACCTCCTGCCATGATAGATGGGGAATTATGGATGATGGACTCCATCATCTCTTGGAATTGGAAGCTAGACATGACCTGACATCCAAATAATTTGATCCTCCTAATTTCTGCAGGACCCCAAACCGCCTCCTATGATTGTCATCTTCTGCATCTGTATAGAAGTGGGGAGAGCCTCTTGTCCTCCTAGGGACTATAGGTCTAACCAAGGAGTTCACCTTTCTCAGGATGTTTCTCCCGAATCCCCTCTGCTGTCTGGTAGGCGTGGTAGGAGTTGGGGAAGTCCACATCGGGGTCTGATTCATCCACCACATTGTCCAGCAACTCCAGGGCCTCCATGATGGTCATCTGACGGAGGTTGCAGCCACCATATTGCTCGTTCTAGGGAGAGGGAACTGTGAGGACACTAGGATGGACTAGAGCTATGATGCCCTCTTCAAACTTGAGGGAACTAGGTAAGTCTAGTCCAAGGGTCGGCAACCCGCAGCTCTGGAGCTGCATGCGGCTCTTTGGTCCCTCTGCTGTGGCTCTCTGTTGGGTGATCCCACCATTGGATGGCCACGCCCCTCACCCTCCCCTCCCAGTCACTCCTCGCAATACCTGAGAAGGTAAACACAAAAAAAGCAGAAATGAGAGAGAGAGAGAGAGAAACACCGGGAGCCACAAAACCTGGGTAGGTGTGTCTGGGGTGTGTGTCATGTGACTGGGTGGGAGTGGCATTGAGTTGGCCACGCCCACCCAGGTTTTGTGGCTCCAAATGTTTTCTTTTCTGTGGGAAACAGGTCCAAATGGCTGTCAGGTTTCCAAGCTACATATAAGTCAATTTCGGGCTTGACAATGGCTCTTTCAGTGTTTAAGGTTGCAGACCCCTGGTCTAGTTTAATGAAAAATACTAGGTATGATATGGTGACAGTCTTCCAATACTTAAGGGGCTGCCACAAGGAAGAAGGGGCCAACCCCTGAAGGCAGGACAAGAAGCAACGGATGGAAACTAAACAAGGAGAGAAGCAACCTAGAACTAAGGAGGAATTTCCTGAGAATGGAAACAATTAACCAGTGGAACTCCTTGCCTCCATAGGTTGTGGGTGCTCCATCACTGGAGGTTTTTCAGAAGAGACTGGACAGCCCTTTGTCTAAAACAGCAGAGGGTTTCCTGCCTGAGCAGGCGGTTGGACTAGAAGACCTCCAAGGTCCCTTTCAAGCCTATGGTTCTATATTCTATTTAGGAGAATGAAGGAGAAATTTCCTTTGAGCGAGAACATTTAATCAGTGGAACCGCTTGCCTCCAGAAAGTGTGGGTGCTCCAACAAGGGTGGCTTGGAGCAGAGGGTTGGATTAGAAGACCTCCAAGGTCCCTCCAACCCTATTATTCTATGTTCTAACTCAGGGCTCTTCAAACTTGACTTGACTTTAAGACGTGTGGACTTCCACTCCCAGAATTCCTCTTCCAGTCATGTTAGCTCAGGAATTCTGGGAGTTGGAAGTCCACACGTCTTCAACTGGCCAAGATTGAAGTCCCTTGTTCTAACGGTTTAGGCAAATTTTGAAAACGAGGCAGGATCTTAGGAAGAGCAAGTCATCTGAGACTAAAATGGTGGGAAACCCAGCAGGTATTCTTTTGGGAGGGAGGGAGGGAGGGAACAGACTATTGCTGGCAACCCTTGATATCCGTAGCAGAAGTGGGAATTCAGTACTGACCAGTTCTGGAGAACCGGTGGCGGAAATTTTGAGTAGTTCGTAGAACCAGCCAATCCCACCTCTGACTGGCCCCGTTAACCCCATCTCCTCCCTGCCTCCCATCGAGTCCCAGTTGATCGGCTGGGTCTCCTTTGGTTGCCCTGCCCAGGAGAACGGAGCTGGAAAGCAGGTTAGTGGGGAGGGAAGGGAAGGGGGATTTTGCAGTATATCCTTCCCCTGCCACGCCCACCAAGCCACGCCCACAGAACCAGGAGTAAACTTGTTTGAATCCCACCACTGATCCATACAGCCCCCAAAGAACTGGAGATAGGCCTCTCTTGTGGCTGGTATCACCTGGATGTATGGAGCCATGCTTGGTGCCCAAGAGACCTTCCCCAGCCGAGAGGTGAGCTCTGCCTGGGCAAACCCACCTTCTTCTGCACAAATTCCACCGTCTGGTTGGTGTGCATGAGCAGGTAAGTGTGGTACACTCGGTCAATCAGCGCCCCCTCCTGAAATGACAATTCCAAAGTATTGCGGCGAGTGACAATCATTAATCCAAGGCAGAGGTTGGCTTTTCCCCCCCAAAACTTCAAGATGGGTGGGCTTCAATTCCCAGAAGAGGTGTTGTCCAAAAATGCTAGAGAATTCCTGGAAGCCGGGCACTCAGACAAACTGACCATCAACAGGCGCAGAGAGTGAAACAACAGCTACCTACCATTCGAAAGAGGCAACCGCAAAGCTAAAAGACCACAACGCCCCCTGACCAGCGATCTATATATCCTGATAATCAGAGTTTAACACCAACTGGTAAGCAATGCCTCCATCAAGAAACTACCAATTCAGTAAAGGACAGATTAATCAAGGAATGACCAAGAATACTCCCACCAACACCGACAGGGTAAGCCACTAGTACATAAGCAACAATCCCTTCTAGCACTGATGATGTTCCCTAGTTGGGTCAAAAAACATCTGCAAGAAAACCAACATGCTCAGGGAGCACCAAGGACCTCACAGTTCCCCTCCTCCTGCTCCTGCTCCTCCTCCTCCCTCTTCCTTCTTATCCTCTTCATCCTCTTCCTTCTCAACTTCCTCTATCCTCTTCTTCTTCTTCTCTTTCCCCTTCTCTACCCCATTCTCATTTCCTTCCTCTCCTCCTCCCTTCCTTTTCCTCTACTTTTCCTGCTCCATCCCTTCTCATCTTCCTCCTTCTCATGTTCCTCTATCCTCTTCTTCTTCCCTTTCCTCTTCTCTTCCCCATTCTCATTTCCCTCCTCCTCCTCCTCCTCCCTCAACCTCTGGCTCTCCGTCTCAGAACAGACTTTACACACTTTTGCACTACGGGCGGCCTCTAAAGTATGAAGTGTTTTCAAAATATGTTCATAGTTTTCATTCCAATCTCCTACCCAGCATTTTTTCCTCCTGGTCCTCTGGGACAAAATAGAGACACGGTCCATCTGCCCCTGGATTTCACTGACCTTGAAATTCCTGAAGTTTTCTTTGGACTTTGGGTTCTCCGGGGTATCATCAGCCTGCGGAGGTTCTGAAGACTGACAGGCCTGAGGGAAGAGGGTCTCGGAGAGGTTAGCTGGACCAGCACATCCTTGGTTTGCTATAATACAATATCAATCAGAATAGAGCTGGAAGGTACCCTTGAGGTCTTCCAGTCCAACCCCCTGCTTAAGCAGGAGATCCTATGCCATTCCAGACAAATGGCTGTCCAGTCTCTTCTTAAAAACCTCCAGTGATGGAGCAACCACACCTTTGGGAGGCAAGCTGTTCCATCTATCCATTTTTTGTCTGTATATTCTCTCTCTCTCTCTCTCTCTCTCTAGTATCTATATCTGTCTATCCATCCATTCATCTATCATATGTATCTTAAGTGGCTTCAGTAGCTGCTACCACAATGTTTGGGTCAATGATAGGGACACGGGAGGCCTTGTTCTGCTGTCATGACTTGTCACCATTAACCATCCCCTTGCAAAAAAAGAAGCTTTAGGAAGGGGCGAGATGCTTTCACGGTTTGATAATAACATTTTATACCGCGTTTCTAAGACCACCCTTGGAATATTTCATCTGATTTTGGTCACCATGGTGTAAAAAAGATGTTGAAATCCCAGAAGGAGTGCAGAGAAGAGCAACAAAGAAGATTAGGGAGCTGGAGGCTAAAATGAATGAAGAAGGGTCGCAGGAGTTGGGCAGGTTTAGTTTAATGACAAGAAGGACATGTTTGCAGTCTTCCACTCTTTGAGGGCCTGCCCCAAAGAAGAGGGGGGGGGTCCATCTATTCTCCAGAGCCCCAGAAGGCAGGACAGATGGAAGCAACAGATGGAATCAAGGAGAGAAGCAACCTAGAACTAAGGTGAAATTTCCGGACCCTGAGACCAATGAACCAGTGGAATAGCTCCCCTCCAGAAGCTGTGGGTGCTCTTATCACTGGAGGTTTTCAAGAAGAGATTGGACAGCCATTGGTCTGGAATGGTATGTAGGGTCTCCTGCTTGAGCAGGGGGGTTGGACTAGATGACCTCCAAGGTCCCTTCCAACACTTTTTTTTTAAAAAAAATAAATTTTATTAATGTTCTATTTATTACATTTCTCAGTGCTTAATAAACATCGTGTTGTCTGAATATTAGAAAATTTTAAAGCTATACTAAATGGAAGAGTAAAGCAACAACGTGGGAACTAACAGAAGCAATAAAAAGACAGAAAAATGATAAAAACCCCAGGCCCAGGATGGGCTCACGGCAGAATTAAGGGGCGTGCATAAGTGACCCATCGTTGTCCCCATTTATTCGTACCTATTTCCTGTATTCTTACTCATGTTTATACTTATACCTATTATCTTGTTAGCGATTGACAAATCAAATAAATAAATAAAATAAATAAAAAAAGGAAGGAAGGGGGGAGGAAGGAGAACAGAGAAGGGTAAGGAAGAAAGGAAAGAAGGAAGGGGGAAGGAAGGAGAACGGAAGGAGAAGAAAGGAAGGAGAGAAAAGAAGGGAGGGAGGAGAGAAAAGAAGGGAGGGAGCAGGAGGAAAGGAAAGGAAAGGAGAAAATACGCATTCCTAAGAGGTCTGTAAAGGGCCGTGCATAAGTGCCCAATCGTGCCTCCCGTCCCTGTCCTATTGTCCCCATCTATTCATACCTATTTCCTGTATTCTTACTCATGTTTATACTTATACCTATTATCTTGTAAGCGATTGACAAATCAAAT